AAAGGCAGCCGCTCCTGGGACCCAAGGGGGTTCCTGTCAATGTCCTACTCCAGCTTGGTCAGGAAGGAGCAGGCAGCCCTTTCTTCCAGCCCTGCTGCTATTTCCATTTCTTTTCTTTCTTTCTTTTTTTTAATCAAAGGAACAGCAGCAGCGATGATACTACCAGGCAGGAAACGCCACACCTCAGAGACCATGTGGCAGGGCCAGTCTCTGTCACACATGAGGAAGAGACCTGGGGTCTGAGATCCCAGTTCAGTATGGGGTGCAGCTTAGTCAGTCAGAATCTGACTGTGTTTGGCGTTTAGTGCTCTTCCAGTTTCTTGGGCAATGTATTATCTCATTTGACGAGGGCCTTCTGTCTTCATCTGAGGTGACACCCCCGGAAATGCTGAGTGATCGTTGCTTCCTATGATGAAATATGAAAGCCTTCTTGTGATTAAGGGCAGAACCTTTTTTTTTCACCAGAAAATAGCTTCTAGGAAAGGGACTTAATGCTCATACACAACTGATTAAATGCCTGACGTGTTCCTCTTCTCTGTCATTACACAGCTTGCTGTTCTCCTGCCTCTGCCATGGCTCCAGGTGGGACCCATGGAGTGCTAGCGCCTGGTTCAACATTATTTTGCTGGCAGGAAGTTGTAAACATTGGCTGAGTGTCAGATGCCTGCCGCAGCTCCCCGCTGGCAGAGACTCAGCTCAGCTACATGTGGGGCATGCACACGAGGGCAGAGGCAGGACAGGGCAGACTCGGAGGCCCTTGGTAGTACCTTGCCTGGTCCCTGAACCTCAGTGGCATGGGACGGTGCTATCACTTAGGAGAAGCCACTGGAGCAGCTGGACAGATGCTGAGAAAAAAATAAGCTCTGTAAAGTGGAGACAGAGAAGTGCATGGAGTTGTCACAGGGGAGGTGTGGCCCCGGCCTCATGCAGGCTTGGGCTTGGGGGCAGGCCACCATGTAACCTCTGCCCAAGGTGATGTTTGGGGAGCCATTTGGTTATCAGTAGCTACGGTGTTCAGAGTTAAAGGTGAAGCCCTGTGGCACAGGAGCTGCTGGTAATGGTGTCAGTGGGAATCAAGGGTCCAGGCAGAGATCTGGGGTTTCAGCTGTCAGAGGGGACTCCTATTGTTCCTACTGTTTTGGAGCCTGCATGAGTGCCCTGGCTCCTCAGGAGAGTTCCAAGGCCAGCTCCTTGAGGTGTCGCTCTGACTCCATAGGTGCTGAGTCCCAAAAGCTCCTGCTTAAGCTCTGGTTGTCCCCAAGGTTACCTGCATGATGTGGCCGCATCAACAGCATGTCTCCATAGCCACGAATACAGAAGGGCCTACTTGCTTGGGGCCCTATAGCAGGGACAATATAGGGAAGCAAAGAAGGCAAGAGTCACACTGTCACCAGTGGTGTCATGCACGGGACTTTATCAGGAGAGTGAGGCCCATTGAAGATAGCCAGTCAGAGTGCTGGGTGGGTAGGTCTGAGTTTGGACAGGGGACTCCAGCAGCAGGGCTGGTCGTGCTGAGGCTACCAGGCAAGGCGGCTTGTCACCAGGTGGGCGCTGAAGGCTGTAATGAAAGAGCAGCAAGGTGCCTGGGTAGGTTCACTTCTGAAGCTGACTGGCAAGAGCTCCTGACCAGCTGGGAGTGGGAAGGAGGAAGAGACTTCTGGGCAATGCCACTGACCGAGAAAGGAAGACTGGACAGTGGGGTGGGAAGTAGGAGGTGGGGCTTGAAAATACAAAATCAGTAGTCTGGGCACATTGAATTTGAGGTGCTGGTGGGACACGATGTCCAGCAAAAGAGCCAACATCGAATGGGCCCAAGAGTGCCAGGCACTGTTCTAGGCGCCCCACGTGTGTTATTTAATTCTCACAACGCTCCGTACACATAGGCACTGTTATTCGCATTTTACAGGTAGCAAAGAGGCATGGGGAGGTTGAGCAGCTTGTCCTCATTTAGGCAGTGATGAAGGCATGGTCCAGGATGACTTGCCGCCAGGATCTGGCTCAGTGCCATATGTTCCTCAAGTCTATGCTACGTGACTGCTTGGGGACACTGTGTAGCCTGGGACCGCAGTTCAGGACGGACCCGAGCTAGAGCTGCAGAAAGGGCCGTGTGAAGGCAGATGTGTGTGAATCGCTGGGGTCTCTGGAGACTGGGCCAGGGTGGGTCTGCGGTGCTAGCTCGTGCTCTGATAAAGTCAGGTAACCGACAGCGAGCAGGGCAAATGTAGGGTGCCGTGGGGGCAAGTGGGCTGTGTCTCAGCGTCACCTGGCAAAGCTCCAGAGTCCCCCCGGGTGCCTGGCCCAGGGGCAGGGAGGCAAACGTCTGCTGGCTCATCTGTTTGACAGCAGCTTTGGGATGAGGATTCCTGGGGTCGCTGGGAGAGGCCCCCATGGCAGCCATACGGGCAGAGACAGTGACTTGCTAGTTGTTCGCCAGCACTTGCAGCTTCAAGCTTTCTCTTTCCTAAGGGCTCAATGTATAGAAATTCCTGTATCCCCTGAGCTGACACTCTAACATTTAACTCAGTACCCTACTTTCTATATGAGGAAACCGAGGCCTGCACAAATTGACACGGCCCAAATGGCTGTGTTTGGAGCAGCACAGAGTCATTTCTACTGTAGGACAGTGCGAGCAGATGCCTTAAAGGCAGGTCTGCCTGGTGAAAAGGTGGAGCCTCAACCTCCCCCTTTCCTGGCCATTTTCCTGCCCTCCTGCCAGGCAGACCCTGTTGGGAGTGCTCTCAAAATTTTACTTTGTTTTTGCAGTACAGTGGATTGAATCTAGGACCTTCCCATTGAGCTCCATGTCCAGCCTTTAAAAAACTGTATGTGTGGAAACAGGTTCCAAGTCTCCATTTTGCCCAGGCTGCTTTGAATTTGCAATTGTGCTGCCTCAATTTCCCAGAACAGGCATGTTACCGTACCTAGCAAAGCCCTTTCTTTCTGGCCTTTTCATGACCCTAGGAAATTCGATCAAGTTCTGTATATTAAGTGTCTTAAACTCAGGAAGCTCTGGAAGGGATGAGATAGGAGACTGAGGGAGACTCTAGGCCAGGAGCTGAAGCCTTTCTGAAAATCACTTGCCCCTCTTGCTGGGGTGACCCCTACTAAGCAGCCAGCCCTGTGCAGTGGAAGCCTAGGGCTCGGACACTTGTGTCACACCTGCAGACCGCTGATGTAAACAGGAGCTTTGCGCTGTACCTTGGCAAAGAAGCAGGTAGTGTGCACATCACTCAGAAGCCCAGCACCCCATAGCCGTGAGCCCTTGTTAGGCACAGAGCCCTGCCAGCCTGGGTATCTGCTACTTAACCAAAGCCTGGTGATCACGGTTGCAGGTCACCCACCCTTGAGCAGCTGCAGCCCCTCGAGGCCGCTCTTCCATGAAGCAACCTCCTTCCTGTGAGGTCAAGGATCTGTGCCTAGCAATTTTACTCACCTAAAACACAGCCCCTGGCTTCTCCCAGTCCCACAGGAACCAGGACTTGTGTCTCAAAGCTCTTTGTCTTAAAGGATAAATACTCTGGTTTGTCGAGGAGATTTAAGCACAGCTTCTGGACTTGGGGTTTGCATCCAGGTGTTTGTGTCCAGGGCTATGCCCTCCCTGTCCCCAAACCTGACTCACATCCCTCGTGTACAATGGGTAGCATCTTGCATAGAACCTACCGCAGCCTCATTTTTAAGCCGTCTCTCGGTGACTTGGTGTCTCTGGTGACTCGGTGTCAGGTGCTACCGTCTGCACTGCTCAGGAATAGTGAGGAAAGTATCAGCACATCTTCAGATCAATCCAGGCTTTCCCAAATATGTCCAATCCATGGTTGGTTGAATCCAGATACAGAGATGACTGTACTTAAGTGAAGTGTCCCAGGGCTTTGGCTTAGGCAGTGACACACTCCTAAGGCACCCCAGAGTGTTGGGGCTGTCAGGCCGCCTGGAACCAACCTAATGCTGCTGGGATGACCCTGGGACCCAACACCTGTTAATTTATCCTCACTATTCCCACACGGTCTCAGGACAAGAGGCTGGGCAAAACATTCTAGTATTCTAAATGTGAAGGAATAAGCTCTCAGTAAGCAAAAATCTTCCTGAAAGTTAACGCGTACAACGACACTTCCCCTCCCCACTGTAGCACCAGGTACCTGAGGTGCCCCGGCCTCTCTCCGGGCCAGTGCTGTTTCGTCAGCCTCGCTCCCCCATCGGCCCTTCCCCAGCCCAGCCAAATCTTTCTGGGGTTCCTGCTGGTGGATGATAAAACACACACGAGTCAAGACTTTTTTTGGTTTGTTTTTAAAGAAACTGCATACATCATCAGACAAACAATAATTTAAATACCATGCAGTTTCTGTATGTACAAAACCTAGGCCATAGAGATCCAGTTTAATATGTATTCTTTGTACACTGTCTTCCTCATACAGCCGCCTGTGATGAATCAGAGCCCGGGAGCGTGTGGCATTCATGGCCACCACGCCCACTCACTCCTATACAAAGACAAAACTATGTACATCCGGGGAGCAACTGCAAAAAGCAACCAGTTTGGGGGTTAACAGGCAGGTGGCAAGAGTCAGTCCCTCAAGGTGACCTTTGCCCACTGGCTGTGCACGGGGAGAGCCTGAAATTCCATTTGTCAAAGCAACATACCATGAGGAGTTCTCATTCGGCAAAAGAGAAACACACGTTTGTAAGCAGGAGAAAAATAAACTTGGAGCTCCTCAACACGTGGACCGTCACATAGGGTTTCTCTCATCTGGTGGAAAGGCTAACGGTATACTAGTTTTACAGGGCTTTGGGATGAAGTGATCAGGAATTTTGAAAAGGCAGGTAGAACAATGGCCATCTCTTCATACTGAGATGGGCTGTTGTGGGTTGGATCAATGTCTTATTTTGAGAGGGAAATGTGATTTGAGCCATTTCGAATTTTCCCTCTTGGGCTAATTCAATGGTACATTGCTCAGCTGGGAATGTATACACTGAAAAACAACCCAGCTTACAAATTGCAGGGTTTTTCAAAAAAAAAAAAATGCATTTTAATCCCATCTATTTTTTTAACCCCCTAATTAATGTCAGTGTGTCATTTTAGAACATAACACAAGTTATCTCTGTTGTCACAACACTGTGGCAAAAAAAGAATGTGAGAGATCTTGCTCGAGCCCTCAAGCTTTTAAGAAAGAGACAGCAGAGGTCCCACCCCGCAGGCCACAGTGGGTGCTGAGCCACTGTAACAACTGCTTAACCATCGCCAGTCCAGAAGGCAGGCAACCTCCCTGGCTGTGGGAGGCACACCCCTAGCTGAGTGGTGACTTCTGAGAAGGATGCCCTGCAGGAAGAGAAGAAGACAGAGTCCTCCATCTCTTTGTGCACAGGGGGCTGCAAGCCCAGGGCTCGTGGGGCACGTGATGGGCTAGTGGCTGCCTGCAGGGAGGCCCCTTGGGGCCTTCTATGCCCAGGGAATCCAAGGGCCCAGAACCACAGCCAGCTGGGGAGAAGCCCAGGTGACCTCTAAGGAACAAGTTCCCTTAGGACTTGTTCCTGGCCAGGGAAAGCCTGGCTGTCACGGCTGTCCCACCAGAACTCCAGGTGCTGGCTGCTGCTCAGCTGTGGTTAGGAGAAGCACAGCCCTCAGGCCGGGCGGCTAGGCCAGGCAGACACCTCAGCCTGGAACAGGCACATGAGCCTGCCCCAGCAGAGCTCAGCAAATGAGCACGCATCCTCTGTTCTACCGTTCGCACATTCAAACGTCAGCAATCCTTTTGGGAAGACTGTATTCACAGCCACGCTAAAATCCCGACTGTGTTTTCCCTGAATAAACCTCTCAGACTGCAGGAGCCATTCAGATTCACAACCCAAAAAAACAACACAGGGGGCAAAAAAGATCTAGTGATGGTGTCCTCCTGGAGCTGGGGGGAGGCCAGCTTGCTCTGGACCTTAGGAGGCAGGCGACAGCGGTGGGGGCACTGTCTCCAGAGCTGCCTGGGCTATCTCCGGATGCCCCGGGCGCCTGGGTTAATGCTGGCACGGAGTCATCAGAGAATTCCAGCACTCCTCACCGGGTGCCATGTCCTAAGGGAAACTGGCTCCCACGGGGCTTGGGGAGGGGACTTGACTCTGGCCTGGCCAGGCTGGCATCAGCTGGGCGTGCGTGGTGGAGAGCGAGTCATTCCCCAGAAAGACCTGGTGACACAGGAACCAGCAAAGGAGCCCAGGCAGAGCCCTGCCCTGAGAGCTGAGAGCCAGGCCAGGGAGGAAAACAAACCCTGCAGCAGGCCACCAGGGGTACCCATTAGGGTTTGGGGTGTCCTTCCCCCATTGCACCCTGACCCCCAGCGTCTCTGTCAACAGAGCACTGCTTTCCCGGGGCCCCAAGACTCAGGAAAGGGGGTGCCACATCTCTGATTACCCAGCTTCACCAGGAGAGGGGAAAGACTCTCCTGGGTAGGTGCAGAGGGAAGGCTGGGGGGCGTGTCTGGCGTCTGCCCCATTGGGCACACACTGAACTCTGGGCTTCTCCATAGAAACTCTCAGTGCAAAGAAAGGACAATGGAAGGCCACCGAGCGGTGCTGGAGGGCCAGGCCCCAGGACTAGGACGGCCAGTCTCCCAGGAATGGTATCTGGCCACCACACCCTGGCCTTATACCCTGAAGTCACTAATTTCCAAGCCACACAACCTCTGGCCTGGAGGTACCCAGGAAGATTAAAAATGTAAGCCAAGCAGAGCTTCTGGCCCTGGACCTTCTGTCCCTTGCAGAGTCCTCGTGCTCTTATGCACAAACACCAGGGGAGTTCTTTAGCAGGGACATTCCTGTCATCCCTGACACTGGGCTTTCTGAACAGGCATGAGTTAATGAATGTGCACTAAGGCGACAGTTCTCCCTTGGGGAACCACAGCCTCCTGGAAAGCAACTTACTCTTGGCGGAGGGGACGGGGCCACCCACAGCCAGCCTGCCACAACTACCTATATGTGGGACCAGTGGTCACAGCCTCCTCCAGAGGCGCACCCCTCTTCTCATCCTCTGTGTGGATGATGCTGAGATCAGCACTCTTCCTTGGGGACCCCCAAACCAGATGCGGCCTTGGAGCTGGTGCCGCATTCAGAAGGCCGACTAGATCTCAGGCTCTGCATGGCCACTCCCAGGTGACAGTCCCGCGTGCACCAGAAAGGGGTGTGCAGGAGACTGGACGAACGCAGCATCTGCGGGGCCTGGAAGGCGAGCACGAGGGCCCCGCCCCCTCCGGAGGTCTTCAGCCAGGCCCTGGAGAGTGCCTGCACATCCGGACTGGAAGTGGGGCCGCAGCTCTGCTGCCGCCCGGTCGCCATCACCTTTTTGCCCATAGAATCCTGATTGTGTTTCCTTTTATTTGTCTTCTTCTTCTTCTTCTTCTTCTTCTTTTTTTTTTTTTTAAAAAAAAGGCAGTTCAGAAGATTTACACCGGAATGGGGAAGTGAATAAATGCCAGCACTTATGGTTCTTACAGACTTATGTTTTGAAGCCAGCAGAGCGCTCGGGAGGACCCCCACTGCTAGGGTCGGTGAAACCTGGGGACACAAAGAGTTCAGTCAGGCACAGGCGCTGTGGAAGGTGTGGGGCTGTGAGCCTCGGTGAGCTCCCCGAAACCCATCTCTGCTCTGGCTACAGTGCAGCCTGCAGCCCTAGGGGACCCGGCCCCCGCTGACAGCGGGCTCCTGGGCGTGGGCAGGGTGGCCTGTCTCTGAGTCCAGGTCCTGAATACTTGCTAAGTCCCGTTCCTCTAAGTGTACATCGAAGGAGGGGAAGTAGAATTATGACAGTGGCCTTGTCACTGAGTAGCCTAGTGAACTTACGCAGGCTCCTTCCTTCTTCTGTGCCTCAGTTGTCCCACATGATCTCAGACGCGAGTGTTGTGCAGAATGACACAAAAATAGGAGGGCACTCACTTTGGAAGTGCTGGGTAGATTCAGTATTTTGCCCAGGTGTGGCCTCTGCAGAGTGCGTGTAAACTGGCAATAATCTCTTCTCCTTAGCTTGCAGTTTTGCAAAAGCTCGCCTCGGGCTGGCACCAGCTGGGTGCGTGGCCAGGGCCTCCCTGCTCCCTGCCCTATCTTAGCAACTGTGCATGGCCAGGGCCTCCCTGCTCCCTGCCCTGTCTTAGCAACGTCAGCGTGGAGCTCGTGTTCCCCATGCCTGCCTGTCCTCTCCCCTGCATGCACCAAACCACTTAGGACCCGGAAACAGATAGGAGAGAGGTTTGGTTGGAAGTAAATACTGCAATTTAGGGGCAAACAAACAAACAAAACCCCCAAACACCAACCTTGTTAAGTGTCTGCTCAATTCATGAACTTCCATTTCAGTGCTTTTAAACTCGTTCAGCTCCTTCCTAATGGCAGCCTGGGGGAGAAGAAGAGCCGTGAGCATGCCCAGGAAGGGGCAGAGGGGGTCCCCTTTCACTGTACACGTAGCTATACAACAGGTGGGATGAATTCTTTCCGCGGAGGGGGGACAAATCACCTCAAGTGCCCTTCGGCGCTTTCTAAGGTTTCCCCCCTCAGAGGAGTTGGTGAGGGTTGGAGGCAGTGAGGCAGATACAAGTTTAGCTTCTGTTGCTTTTCAGTGGAGGCCCAGGCCCTGAACACGGAAGGAACATGGAAGGTCGGAGACAGGTCTGCAGTCCTGCGCTCTTGGGTAGTCCTGGGCCTCACACAGCCCTGCCCTGTCTCTCTGGACACAGCCTCCCTGCTACGGTTTAGATGTGTTCCCGACAAGTGTGTGTGTTGGAGCTTAAATTCCAAGTGCAGTGGTACTGAGAGAGGCTGGGGTGGGAGCTTCAAGAGGTGATGAGGTCACTAGGAGGAATTAATCCTTTCTCAGGGACTCAGTCCCAGGGAAAGGGGCTATCACAAGGAAGGCTACCCTGGTATTTTGTCTCTGGCATGCTCTATCTCCTCCTCTCGTCTTCCACCATCTTAGCAAGTAGCACAAGGTCCCACTAGATACTACTCTTTAAGAAAAAAAAATTTTTTTTTTTGGTGCAGGGTCTCACTAAGCAGCTTGGATTCGTAGTGATCTTCACAGTGATTCAGCCTCCCTAGTGCTGGGATTACAGGTATGTGCCACCATGCCAGGACTCCTTCGCCAGCTCGGCGCGCCTGGGGGGAGGGGCTGGCATGGCATGTGGTACCAGGGATCTAACCCTGGTCCCTGTACTTGCCTAAGCAAGCACTTAGTCTGCTGAGCTATCTTGCTAGTCCTAAAAATCTTTTATTTATGTATTTATTTGGTATAGGGTCTCACTACGCAGCTCAGACTCATAGTAATCCTCCTGTCTCGGCCTCCCCAGCACTAGGATTACAGTGTTGGGTACCACAATAACTGGTTTCAGTGGCTGGCATGGTGTGCCTGGGGTTCTGGGGCCAGTGCAGCAGATGGTGCCAGGAATGAGACCTAGATCCTTGCGCTTGCCAGGCAGGTGCTTAGATCGCTGGGCTATCTCTCCCCAGCCCCTAGATCTCTTGATCTTGGATTTCCCACCTCCAGGGCTATGAGAACAAATTGATTTCTTTCCTTGTAGAATTATACAGCCTCAGGTTTTCTGTTATAGTAACAGAAAATGGGCTAAACCATTGTCCTTCTTCCTTCTGTATGTCAGACACAGTGTTCCTTTCTGTCCTGTGCTTGGGACCTCGCTGCAGGCTCTCTGGAGTCCTGGACAGGTGCCGAGGAAGCAGCACTATAGGAACCCAGGGCGGAGGGTCGCACCACGGGGCTGGCAGCTAAGGCCCAGCTGCTGACCTCCTTCTGGCTCCCCGAGATGCCCACCAGGTCCTGCCTGCTCCTTGCCCTCTCTGCTTACTTTGTCAGCAGCGGTGAGGCGGGTCCACGGCTTGTCTGCCCTGCGGTCATAGTCCTGAGCATCAGCCACCTCCACATAGTCACTGAAGCGGATGAGGATCTTCCTTTCCCGGAGTTCTTCCACCGTGGGCCTCTGGCTGAGCTGCAGTGGGGAACAGAGGGGACCCAGTCAGCCAGAGGAGTCTGGACCATGAGGCCCTGTCCATTATAAATGAGGTCCAGAGGGGAAGCCGACGCATCACACAGCGTGCAGGGCAGGGCCTGTGGGGCTCCCAGCTCCTGGATTACCAGAGCTTTATTATCCATCCAGGCTCATTGCAGCCTGTCTCTGTGCACAGCTCTGCTGGTTCTGGATCTTCCTGAGAAGCTTGTTCTGCTCTGTGGCTGTGGTGTGTGTCCTTCCTGCAGCAGATGGCAGGTGCCTTACAGGAAAATTATCTCACTCTGGATTTATGAGTCTGCTCGTGTGTCTCTCAATTTAGTGCTCTCTGCAAGGTGGGCTTGTAATGCACATTACATGTACTTGTGTGTGCATGTGCTCATGTTGTATACACATAAAAAACTAAGTACAAACAGCATGCAATCTCCAAGGTATGCAGGGATGGGAATGGGTTATGAATTTTCAGAGCAAACATTACTAATGGTCTCCTCCAGGAGGTCAATTGTAATGCTGGCTAATAAGCACAGGGCCAAGAGAATTCAGAACAAGGCCACGTTCACGCCAAGGCACATAGGGCTGGGCCTCTGGCTGGTGTGATGAAGGACTGGCTGCAGGAATGAGGCCTGAGATGATCCTTGCTCAGCTATCTCCCAACACCCCTCACCCCAGCACCCTTGCTCTGTCCTTTGACAACACAAAGCTGCCAGTTCTGTGATCTCTTCTTGCCACAGGTTTAGGATGCTCTCAATTCCTGTTCAACCAATGTCGTTTAAGGACAGTTGTTCCTCCAAGCCCCAGACTATGCTTAATGGTATGAACGGAAGGTGGAATCCAATAGCCCATCAGTCTTGGTGTTCACACCTACAAAACACATGGAGGTCAAGCCCCCATGACTGCGGTGCTGCCTGTCACCCTGGGCTGGGGCTGGAAGGTGCCACCTTGCCGCCACATTGGCAGAACAGATGAATGGCTGATGCCATCAGAGCTGTGACAGGGACTTCTGGGCACTGGAGCAGGACAGGAGTGGGACAGGCCAGTAGGTCCCTTTTGGCCATTGGTGGGGAGTTCCAGGAACCAGAGGCCAAGTGGTTGTGGAGCTGCCCACTTGCCTAGACTCCATGTAGCTACTCCTCTACATGGCTCTACTCTCTCCTGAGGTAGCCATGAGTTTCTCAGGGCAGATAGTTTTGACCTCAGTGATGGTGTGTTACAGAAAAGCACAGATTTCTAAGGCTTTATGGCCTTAGTGGTAGTTGCAAACAAAACGGTGGCCATCCTGACACTGAAATGTGGGTACAGGGAAAGTTTGCATTATAATTAAAAGACATCAAAACACTGAATATTGACCTGAATGTTTGTCATTTTTACCCCAGATACACAGGTTCCTATTCAACATTTCCAGTTTTTTTTCCTTAGGGCTAGCAGGGTTGACCCAGGTGTTGGGCAAACCATATTCTTTTGTATGTACACAATGATTTGAAAAAGTCGCTAAGCCTGACTTTTGTATTTGTCGCCCTGGAAACTGTGATCTGGGTGGTACCGACAGCTGATCTACGGCAGTCTGGCAGTAGCAGAAAACTCAATGTAAGCTCTGAAAGGGCAGGGACATCTACTTGTACCTGAATTCTATGGGGCCTCAGACACCACTGCCCCAGGTCAGCGAGGTCCCATGCCCATATGCAGGAAGGAAGTGAGCCAGGACAGACCCTCCTGCCGCCGCCTGTGAGGTCTCAGGTTGAGTGTGGACCATTGGACTAGTGATCGGCAGCTAGATTCCTCCTCCATGTGGACAGGCTTGTCTCCTGACCACACAAGGCTTAGAACTTGGACCTGGTGGCTGCGTTGGGTACTCACAACCCGAGGCTGTTCCTCAGATGCTGAGGAAATCATCTTTGGGGCCAAAGTCAGGTTTTCTGAGGACAATGAACTAGAAGAAGTGGGGATAGTGGTTGATAGCACTTGTATCAATCTAGGGCAGCAATATTATGGGCAAATAAGAGCTTAAAAAAAAAATTATGACCTGACCCCTTGGTGTATTTCTTTCCTTCTTTCTTTCCCTCTTCTTTCCTTTTATCCATGCCTGCCTGCCTGCATGCATGCATACAGCCATCCATTTAGCTATCATTTCTTTTTTTGGACAGGAAGATAAGCGCTTTTTTTTAGCATGTAATTTTTAGGTTATTTTCAATTTGGCTGACAAAAACGACTGGTCTGTTGCTATCAGCATCAGCCACTGAGTTTTATTTTTCTCACTAGTACATTAAGATTAAATAGAAATTTATTGAGGAAATTTTTGGGCTGAGGGGAAGTAAATGAAAAGCAGCCACCATGCCTGGCATCTGGTCTTGGTGTGATAGAGGCTCAAGAGAAAAGAACTTGCCCGCGGCCAGGGTGCAGTACTGATCACCACATGCTGGCAGGCGCCCCATCTCCGGGCCCCAAACAGATGGGGAAGCTGCTCCCCATTTTCTAGTCTTTTCCCTACAGTTTTCCCATGCTCTGGCTCTCTATTCTGAACTCGTGCAGCCAATGCCTGGGAAGGACAAATACTAGGATTATGAGGCCATTTTTCTGGGGGTGAGTAGGAAGAAGAGGAAACCAGGGGTAGACGGGAAATTCTCTTGTCTCAGAGACCTGCAAGAACCAGGAGCTATGTGAGGGGAACAGTCCGTCCTGTGACCCAGCCCCAGGGAGGTGGGCATGGGAAGCGACTCCTTTTCCGCTACCACATTATGCAATGCATCAGGTTTCTCTCTGGAAGATCATATGATCTTTCTTTAACAGATCAGAACTGAATATAGGTCTAAGTAATTTCCATGATGATGAACGCGCAGCCTTGGAGTTCTGGAGACTTGGTGCAGTCCAGCCGTTAACTCCACGAACTTGATGAAAAATTTAACCATCTTTAAGAATGTCTAGACCTTTCTGAGCCAGAAATGAGGGGTGATCGCTGGCCTCTTTCTCCATGCCCATCATTCAAGGGCACACTCAGAACAAGTGAATATTTTTCTCCTGCCCTTCCCACTGCTTCATCTTAGAATCTTTTCTTTTCTTTTTTTTTTGGTGGAACTGGGGATTGAATTCAGGCCCTTGTGCTTGCCTGGGAAGTGCTTATTCTACTGAGCCATCTCCCCGGCCCCCTAGTCTTAGAAAAAATGCCCTTTGTGTCCGAAGCCTGGATGGTCTCAGGTTGTAGGGAGACAAATCTTGATTGCGGTAAGAGCCACTGGCTGAGATGAGGTCACTTAGTTCTTATCCTAATGTCCCCCAGGGTGACACCTCCCAGTCAACTGATGGTTCAGGCCACATTTAGGGTGTGTTGAGAGACAAAAATCATTCCTTTAGTAGTCTGTATGATATTTTAGGACCACTGAATTTCTCCCTTTGCATAACATTTCTAAGAAAACAAATCTAATAAACCTTTTAAAAATCTAATAGATTTCTTCACTGTCTTTAAGATTTGAGTATCTTTTCTCAAGTTGATCACAGTAGGAGATTGATTGAAAACATGTTAAGTAGGAAATAATGTCATTTTTGTGTCATCAATTAATTAAACTTTTCAATATCACCCAGGAATAGCCTCAAATTTATTATTCAAGAGGCTGCCCATGTAGTGAGGTCTCTGGGTCTATGCTGCAAGTGTGTTAGTTGATACATTGTGTCAACTTGGCTGAATCAGCTCCGGCAGCGTGGGGGCCTCGCCCTTCAGGTGGGCAGGGCCCAGGAATTGAGAAAGGCAGGAAGCCGCCCTGCCTGGTTTCCTGCTGCCCCGCCCTGCTTCCGTGGAGAAGTCTGTCTTTGAAGGAGCTTGATCTCGGCAGCCGCGCCACTTTGGAGGAGCTCTGATCTTCACTGTGGAGCGCTGGTCTTCGCAGTCAGTGCAGAAGGGAGAGGCTTGATGGACACCGCAGCTGCTGCTCCTCCTCTGCTCTTCACTGTTTTCTGCCACATGAACCTGCTGCTGTTTGCCTTGCAGCCAGCGGAATATGGACTGAACCCTCCAGTAACTGTGAGCTAAATAAACCTTTCCTTCCTTCATTTTGAGTGTCTGGTATTTGTCCCAGCAACAAGTAAAAAGTAACTAAGACAGAATTTGGTACCGCAGGCGTGGGGTCGTTGCTGTGGCTAAACCTGAGCATGTGGATCACAAGCTTTTGGGACTGGCTTATGGGAAGAGATAGGAAAGGTTCGGAGATGTCACCTAAAAGCGAAGCGCTGGAACAGCTTCGGCTGTTCTGTATGGGAGATTCTGGTCAGAGCTCAGACCAGAAGACTGACAGAAAGCCTGCCTGTAAAGACCAGGCTGGGGAGGTTTCTGCTGAGAAGGACTGCATTGGTTGTTGGACTCCGGATCATTTGTGTTTTGACCTGGCAGAAAAGCTGTCTGCATTTTGCTCGTGTCCAGAGACTTTGCCTGAGACTGAGTTTAAGCATGGCGGACTGATCAATCTGGTAAAAGATATTTCAAGGCAGCCAAATATTGGGGCAGTGGCCTGGTTGTTACTGAGGGCTTTTAGCCAGATTTATGTTGAGAATCAAGAGCAAAGAGCCCAAAAGGATGATTTAAAATGTTGTGAGTTTGACCAGAAAGGAAGCTCCAAGAAAGCTGTGGACTGTGAAGACAGAGCTGAGAGGATCTCCATTGCTGAGAAGGAACAGTAGAGTAGAAAAGATGTACCAAGGGCATCACAGGAGGTGGCAGGTTCTTGCCCTTTACAGCCTAAGAATGGCAAGGGTGAGGGACTTTGCTTTGAGGACAAAGCTGCAGAGCCCCATGTTCCAGAATGGAGGCAGCAGCCACACCAGGTTCCAAAATGGAGGCAGCGGCCACATCAGATTGCAGAATGGCACCCGCATAGAGAATCTGTTTCTCAGAATCAGGGTCAGAGTGCTCAGCGATCCAGGCACTCAACCCCTACAGCCAAGAGAGAGGAAACCTTGGCTTCTGCTCCAGCTGGCAGCAGCCCTTGGCCTCATCCACATGGCTTTGGTTGTAGGTGCATGAGGAATGCAGGCATTCTGAGGTTCAGAAGGCTTCCACCCAGATTTCAGAAGAAGGCCTGGGAGGCCAGGCAATGTGCCCCTGAGAGGGCAGTGTGTGAAGCTGTGAGTGAGAAGCCTATCCAGTGGAAACCTCAGAAGTTTGAAAAAGCCAGAAATGTGGATGGTCTAAGAAAAGCTGCAAAAAGGGAGCAAAGCAGGCCTGAGAGAAAAGCCCTACGAGCTACCAGCAGAAATGCCTTAGCAGTGGAGTCACATAAGGCTTTTGGAGCTCACTACTCATTACAGGGTGCTTTGGATGGTCCACAGGGAACTGCAGACTTAGTTTGCCCTTCGGGACCTTGGACTTGTTTTGGTCCCAGATGTTCGTATCCTGCTGTGTATCCTTTTTGGAATGGCAGTGCTTATCTTGTGCCTGTGAATGTTAGAAGTGTTTAACTTCTCATTTGTAGAGGGGCTCACAGCTAAGAGTTTGCCTTAGATCTTGGAAGCTTGGGACTTGGACTTTTCAGTGTTGCTGAAACTGGTAGGACTTTGGCAACTCTTAGAGATGGATTAAAATGTCTTTTGCATAAAAAGGCGTGCATCAGTCTTTGGAGGGCCGGGGTAGCATGTCATGATTCTAATGTAAAGCAGTGTACAATTTCTAAAATGTTTATGCATGTCTGTGTACCTGGAAATCGGCTTAAAAAGGTGTATGTCTAGTTGCCAAGTTGACAAGGGGTGGATTGTGTTAGTTGATACATTGTGTCAACTTGGCTGAATCAGCTCGGCAGCATGGGGGCCTCGCCCTTCAGGTGGGCAGGGCCCAGGAATTGAGAAAGGCAGGAAGCCGCCCTGCCTGGTTTCCTGCTGCCCCGCCCCGCTCCCGTGGAGAAGTCTCAGTCTTCGGAGGAGCTTGATCTCCGCAGTCATGCCACTTTGGAGGAGCTCCGATCTTCACTGTGGAGCGCTGGTCTTCTGGTCTTCGCAGTCAGTGCAGAAGGGAGAGGCTTGATGGACACCGCAGCTGCTGCTCTTCCTCTGTTCTTCATTGTTTCCTGCCACATGAACTGCTGTTGTTTGCCTTGGAGCCAGCGGAATATGGACTGAACCCTCCAGTAACTGTGAGCTAAATAAACCTTTCCTTCCTTCATTTTGAGTGTCGGGTATTTGTCCCAGCAACGAGAGAAGATAACTAAAACACTAAGCCATCTAATTTTGGGTTAAAATATGTAAAACTTCCAGCTTTCATAACTGTTATCTGAGTAGTTTAAAAACACCTGCATTAATATCATCTGTACTTTGGCATTTTCTTAGTCCAATAATTCACAATAGATTTAACATAAGTAAGCCAAATGGTTTTAAAATATTAACAGGTAAGACATCATATTGGGAAGCAAAGAAAATCCACATTTCCCCAGATCACAGCAAATTGACAAAGTTGTATTTAAACTACTATTTTGCTAATGAGCTTTGGATGGGCGGATGGGGCTATAATAATTTTTTGTGTGCTAGGAATTGAACCCAGTTTGTTGAGCCTGCAGCTTGCACTGTGCTGCTGAGAACACGCATTTCCCAACCTCTTTAATGAATTTCTAAAAACAAAATATATTTAGTGTAGCTGAAAATATAATGCAACACACAGAAAGTTGTTTGGAGGCTGGTGGGTGTCACAAATCAAGCTGGACTCAATGTCCCCAGCCAAAAGGACCGAGGGACAGGATGCCACATTGGGCCCTGGTCCCCAGGGACCGTTCACCTGGAGAAATCCCAAAGGTTACAAAGCGATGCACCCTGACACCGCAGTAGGAAGCCAGTGGGCCATGTGGCTTCCAGGCCACCAGAGGCAAAGTTGTGGCAAGCAGCCCTCCCTCTCCCGCCCCAGCCCTCTGCACGGAGAACCTTCTTACCTTCCGAGTTAATCGCCTCTTGATCTCTCTTTTCTCCTCTTGCTCCTCTTGTTCATTGCGAGCTGAAAGAAATATCAGAGATGCTTTTGACTTCAGTACGCAGAGACACACGCAGGTGCACCCTGTGGGCCTTAGCAGGCTCTCATCCCAGGACTTCAGTTTGAAAAGGCAGAGAGGACCCTTGTGTCCCTTCCCTGGTCACCCTGTGCCTGTGGGGGGGATGTTCCCCAAACTGACTGCTTTGTTTCAGATGTCTTCCCACTGGGTTTAGCACAGCACCCGTGTGGGAAGCCACTGCCGCGTGATTCTGGCCTAAGCGCACTCTGATGGCTCAGGGAGCTCATTTCCTCATTTTGCGATCACAACTATTGAGTTATTTCTTGAAAACTTAATATATATATATTTAGATGTCATGCAGGCTTGGGTCCTCAGGTAGAAATACTGGGTCAGGAAACGTGCTTGGGAGGTGAGGAGATGGTGTGTGAGGCTCCCTCTGTGGCGCACAGGGCCTCACTCATGTCTGGAGCCTCCCAGGAGGGGCTCGCTGGGAGGTGGCCCTGGGCTCCGGGGCGCTGTGTGACCGAAGGGAAATCGAACCTTCACTTCCGCTGCCTCCATGGCTAATAATAGAACTGAGGCTGGCTGCTCCACCAGGAAGTTCAGGGTGCTCACCTTTCTCAAGCCCTGGCTCCATGAATTCTCTGAATCTTCCAAGAAATCTACAGAACACGTACAACCAGAGCATACAGTATAAGTGCCTGCATTTTGCCTCATCAGGAGTGACTTAGGAGCAGACTTTAGGGTGAAGGTCCTCAGCTCACTATGTGGGTGACTGACTGACTCATCAGGGGTTCTAAGTGCTGAAGGTAAAGAAGTCTGGGAAGGGAGCAGAGATTTGTGGGCCAGAGAATTGGGGCTTATTTTGACTCAGCTAATGGAATGACTTCGAGTCAATTATTTCTCATACTTATGGAGATCTATCTATCTATCTATCTATCATCTATCTATCTATATCAGCCTAGTGTCACCTGACTTGAAAACACCCTGACACCAACAAGTGACCCAGACAGCCCGTGCTTCCCACTGGGTTTAGCACAGCACCGGTGTGGGAAGCCACTGCCGCGTGATTCTGGCCTAAGTGCACTCTGATGGCTCAGGGAGCTCATTTCCTCATTTTGCGATCACAACTATTGAGTTATTTCTTGAAAACTTAATGCATTTGCATGCTTGCCATGTAGCTGTGGCTTCTGATGGTCCCAGGACAGGACAGACCTTTGCAAGAGTGAAACCCCTGTGTGGAGAAATGGGGTGGGGTTATCTGATGAACCTTCCTGTCCTTCCCTCTCACCACGAGGACTACAGGTAAAGGTGCCTGACACCACCCACAAGGACAAACCGTGAGGCCCAGGGCTGATTCATACCTATGTGGATCAGGACCTCATGTAAGGGCAGCAAACCAAATGCCAGCATCCTGTCCAGGCCTGGGTCACCAGGGGAGAGGTTCTATTCTGAGGGTTCCTCCCTTTGGATTTAAAGATCGTTTCTCCCAAAAAGGAGAAATGCAAATTTCCCTTTGATAGAAACCCATTAAACTACTCACCCATCCATAGATTGAGATGAATTTATCAATCAGAGATAACTGGGAGACAGATAGCAAGACCCAGGGGAGATTCTAACATGGTATTTATAAAAATGTACATTTCTCTGGCATAAAATTTAGGAAAAAGGCCAGCCATTAATATCTTAGTATGAGTTAATTTATAAAAGAATCAACTGGAAGGCAGATAGCCAGAATTGGATGAAGGGAAACCCAAACAGTTATGTTTGCAGGTGGGAGAACAATAGGGGGAAGAGTATGGGAGTCTTCCCTGGGGGCAGCTTGAGGTCACTTGGTTAAAATTCACAGAGACCATGAAAGCCACCATTCTTGGTTTACAAAGGCAGATATGAAAGTCTTAGGGATGGCTAGGCAGATATGGTGGCATCCTACAATCCCAGCACTTGGGAGGTTGAGGCAGGAGAATCACTGGGAGTTTGAGGTCAACCTGGGCTACAAAGGAGTACAGGGCCAGCCTGAACTGCATAATAAGACGCTGTCTTAAAAACACCCCCCCCCCAAAAAAAAAAGCAAGCAAGCAAGCAAGCCCCAGGGAGTTAAGTAAGTAGTCACACCCTCCATGGCTAGTTAGTCAAACAGTTCAGCTTTCTGCCTTTTCCTGCTGTTGGGTTTTGCCTGGGGCCTGGCCCACCTTCTCTCTTCAGACTCCAGACCCTACACACCCTCTTGAGCTTGAAAATGTCATCCTTTGCCAAAGCTGAGAGAGCCTGGGGCGCCCATCTCCTTTGTGTGATTCCTTGGTCCCTCTGAGGTGGGACCCCAGGAGACAGCTTACGGAATCCAAGAATTCAGTTCAAAGCCAGTGTGGGGGAGCACACCTGTAACCCTAGCATGCTGGAAGACTGAGGCAGGAAGACCAAAAATTTGAGCCTAGACTGAGTAACTTAGTCACTTAGTGAGACCCTGCCTCAAAAATGAAAAATAAAAAAGGGCTGGGGATGTAGCTCAGTGCTAAGGGCCAGGGTTTAATCCCAGTACTATAAAATAAGACAAGACCAAATAAAGCAAAGCCATTTACAAACCCAAAGACGGGACTCATCAGGTAGAGGGTGCCACGATAACCCACTAAACAAATATGAGGTCAGACATGACGCATGATGTCACTGTCACCGTGGGCCCCCATCAGTGTCTTCATTATGTGTTCAGATGGGCATAGGGTCTCCCTGGCTGCAGAACAAAGGAAGGGCTCCATGCTGGACCCCAAGCCAGCCTCTCCGGACACCTCAACCCTCCACCTCCCACCTCCCAACCTAGTTGCTCTTCCAGTGACTTAATGCCCAGAAAATAAGATCTGTCTATATTTTTACTTATTTATTTGGTCCTGGACTTTGAGCTCAGGGCCTTCACATGGAGCTGCATCCCTAGCACTGTCTTCATCTTGAGCAGGTTTGCTAGGTTGTTAGGCTGCTCAGGCAGTTCATCTGGCTCAACTGTCCAGGTTATAGGTGCGCGCCACTGCCCCGGCCCGGAACGTCATGTGTTTTAGAACAAATTGCCTGAGGATGCTTTCTTATCCCACGAGACATTTCTTGCTTAGCAAATCAAAGTCCATTAATACATATATTTAGAAAAACAGTTGCAGTCTGCAGAGAAAAATAACCTACATGAAAACAAGTTCTTCTCTGAAAAGTCACTTGAAACTGGGTCATAATCAACCTGTTAGAACTTGGTCGAACACTTCTCTAATTTGCAGCTATTTTCTGCTTTTCAATAAGGAGATGAGATGAGAAAGAAGAAAAGAATGAAAAAGAAGAAAGAAGACAACAGAAGAAAGGTGCAGGAATGATCTTCAGAAATCGCCTGATCGGTCCCTCTGGGCTCACAGACACAGGTAGCAAAGCCCATGCATGGCTTCGCAGCCTGCCTGTGGCCGCCCAGGGTGGGGCAGGCCCAGGGGAACACGGGGCTGCAGACCATGTCTTTGCAGAGCCTCCGCCCTGCTGGGTGTGACTGCTGAAACCTGAACAGTCTCAGAGGTCTGCGTCCTCTTTAGCTTAGGTATTGGCTCGCAAGCCACCAAATCCAGTGCAGACTCAGAAATACACTGCACAGAGATTCTCAGAGGTCAGAGAGCCAGAGAGCCATGCGTGCCATTTGGGTGGACAAGGGGAGGAAGCTTGGGGGTGTGAGTTCCGATTTTATTTATTTATTTTTTTTACAAGCCGTTCCAAGTTTTATTACTCAAACAGCTTCACCTTTCAGCCCTGGGCTCTGAGCCTGTGCCGTCAACACTTCCACCATGATTTTCTGCTCTTCAATGAGGAAAGCATGCTTAATCCTGTCTCGGACACACTGGGCACACACGGGGCCCCCTGAGTCCCACGGACATGCTCCTTTGCCTTAGGCAGTCTCATAAGAACTTTAGGGCACACAGCGTGAGCCCCTCAGTCTGCCACGCACACACTGCATGCAGATTTGGGGGGTTTCCCAACCTTCTTGGTAAGCAATTCTATTCCCTGGGACTCGGACACCCTGTTTGGCTAGAGGTCATGTTGTAGCCTATGGTATGTCAAGCACTGGACCACTGTGAAGGCCTCTGCACACGGTCCCTGGAAGAGGCCGATTTTAGGAATCAGGGCTCACCTGAGTGGCTCTCAGACTGCGCCTACAAAGGGGGACAGATGCATCTCTGAACACAGTAATCTCTGGAAAGGTTCTAAGGACACTGAACAATATAGTAAATTTAGAAACTTACCTATTTATTTATTTGTATATATTTTTGGTACTGGAGATGGAACCCAAGGTCTTCACACTAGCTACATCCCCAGCCCCCAGCCTCCCCCTTTTTAAAATTCTGAGACAGGTCTTACAAAGTCATTAAGTTGCCCAGGCTGGGCTAGAACTTGCAATCCTCCTGCCTCGACCTCTCAGAGTACAGGGATTAGAGGCACCGGCCACCAAGTCTAAATGCTCGAAAACTTTGAGCGTCCTGACAGATTAGCAGAATTACACACATCCCGAGGTGCACTGAGCCCTTAGGCAAAACCCGCGGGAACACAGCCCACAGCCAGCTCTTGTCAAGTGGCTTCGGGGAGCAGGGAGCAAAAGCACGGGGCGCCTGTCGCCCCCTCAGCAAAGCAGCTGATGCAGACCAGTCACGAGAGCTTAGGAGGAAGGTTAGCAAAGTGCAGCCGAGAGCATCTTAGGCCGGTGTAAGTGGAAATACCCAGCTAGAGCAGGGTTACACACGTGACGGGTGTGTGCGTGTCTGTGGAACACGGCTAGAAAACCGTGCCATGTATACTTCCCTTTTTTTTTTTATAGAGAGATTAAAAGGGTGTTTCTGGGTGGAGGAAAAAGGGTCATAAACTAAAAATATTTGTTGGTGAGAATGTTTAATTCTTTCAGTATTTTGTACTCTAATTTCTTAGTACCAGGTAGCTTCTCCATCCAAATACATCCAAATACATTCTATGTCCTGGACCAAACTAGGGGTTTGTGTGTATTTCTACCAGTGGCCTTAGAGACAGCTCTTTTTGTCCTGAATAAGTGTGATGAACCCCAGCAGTCAGACAGGAGGCACTTTGCTGGCAGCTGCTACCCTGGACTGTACACTCGGGCTCAAAGGGCCGAGGAATGTTATCAACAGCAGGCAGCTGCGGGGGAAACTTGTTTCCTGGCCCCCAGTTTCAAATGGCTCGTTCCCTTATTTTAGCCAGCAAACCCCTCCGTAGCGTTCTGAAGCCACCTTGGTTAAAGGGGGCCCCACACTCTTCTCAGAGCCACATAGTAACAGATGAGTGGAACTTTGCAGCTCCTTCCTGACTTCACAGCTCACTGCAGGGAGGCGCCGCTTGCACCTGCGAGGCCGTGGCCAGTGGAGCAGAGTAAAACGTACCTTCGCCCTGGGGAGGCCACCTTTGGTGCTCCAGCACCCAGGGGAAGCGTCCTGCGGTCTCCCAGCAGCCCTGGGAGAAGCCCAAATGGGTGAGCTCTCAGAAACAGAAAAAGCCCCCCCAGAACATGCAGCCCTGTCCGGGGCTGAGTCACTTACGTTTTAGGATGTTCCTTTGCTCCAATTCCTCTGCCGTGGGCCTCTGGCTCAGCCGCCTACGGAAAAAACCCAGGAGAAGTTTTTGGACCATATCATATCCGCCTTGGCTTGTTAATCTTCTCAGCCCTTGGAGATGCATGAGGCACAGCGGGTGGCTGCAGGTCTCCTGCCATCCTGTGCTGAGACACTGCCTCTCCTCCACTGCCTCCTCAGTTCCTCAATTTCAACCCCAGGCAAGGCACCCTGCGTCATGTCATGCAGGGCTGACCTCCGCCTGCCTTTCTTCCCGCCTGCTGGCTCCCTCACCCTCCCTGGCCCTCCCCAGCCTTGCTCCTCAGTGTCCCCAGGCCAGGGGACCGAAACTTAGCCGGGACTCTCCTCTTCACAGAGGTTCCTTTCTTTCCTTGTGGCCTGTTCACTTCAGGACCGTGGCCTCTCGCCTTTCTCCCCTTCCCCGAGGCGACAGCCTGCTTCTAGCCACATTAGTGCAGACTCAGAACAGAAGGCGACTCATGGGCCCAGGGGCACGCAAGAGAGCTTGTCTGTCTGCACAGAACAATGGCTGCTCTTCTTATGTCCCACCCATCACCCCTGGAGCCTTGTTAGACATGAAGTGACAAAGGAACAGGCACCAAAAAAAAAAAAAAAAAAGATACTCCTGTTGCCGGGCATGTAACTTAGCCACAGCGAGTGGACATCACATAAGGTATGTGCACATCTAGATGCACGGAGAAGGTGGGGACAGACAATGGGTGGGTGGCACACGGTGGCAGACGTTGCCAGAGAATGGGAATGGCATCCCAGAGCCAAGCAACAACACCAGCAGTGGGCCATTTGTGGTTTTGAAGTTGTTGGTGATTACTGAACACCCCTGCGATCATTCAGCACTCCTGCTTTATCCAGTGGGGAGAGCTGCGTGTGAAAGAGAACCTACTGGAAGACATTTTAAAGATCTGGAGCCCTACCCTGTGACCTAAGAGGGACAAAGTAATGCTCTCGGAGGTGTAGGGATGGTAATTCCTCCCCAAATATCCCAAATTCGCATCTTCGGTTGGCAAGGGGTCCATGTCACAGAATCCGAAGGGAGACGCCAGAATGTGAGCAAACTGCCAGAATCAGAATGGACCCACTTTTGTCAGTCCCCAGCCAAAAACGATAAATAAATAAAGCCTGGATATTATGAAGGGGGCATTGCACGCGTGCATATCCCATAATAAAAACCATTCACAAAAGACTGGATGCTTGTTTTAATGTTTATTCTATGCAATCTTCATAAATACCATTATTCCTCGGAGAATTTCTGTCTGAGTTTATTTAGGCTGACAAGAGAAACCAGAAGCCCATGAAGGCTCCAAGTATGACTATTTCAAATTTACTGGTTGTTATCATTTGTACAATCTGTAGCACCTTGAAACAGTTGGGAATTTTATTCTATAATCTTTTTATAAGAATATTTTGACAGTTATTATTTTTTTTCTCTTCAAAAATGTCTCTGTGGCATAGTATGAAATATATGGTCTTTGTCCCTGGTACCTATCACACAGCACCCAGAACCTTTGGGATTTCCTGAGTAACTGAAGTGTTTTTGCTTTCCTAGAGTCCTTTGGGTCACACGTGTGTTTATGCTAATGAGCGGTGTGGGCACCTGGAGAGACTCCGGGCACAGAACAGTCACCACCAATAAAAATCCTCTTTCTGTCTTTTTTTTTTTTTTTTTTTGAGGTACTGGGAGTTGAACTCAGAACCTTTGCATTCATCCCCAACCCCTTTGTAATATTTCATTTTGAGACAAATTCTTGCTAAGTGGCTGACTTGCCCAGGCAGCACTTGATTTGGTGATCCTTCTGCCTCAGTCTCTCAGAGTGCCTGAATTACAGGGCTGAGCCCCCAGGTTCAGCATGAGCAATGGAATTTGCTGAGCTTTCTGGTCACTGGATACTTGGAGGTGCTGGGTGTGTGGGATGATAAAGCACAGAAATTCTGCCTTTTTCTATTTGCTACCCACTTCATGACCTGGATTTTTAGTCTTTTACATCTTTATAATAAAGTGTTAGTAAATAAAATGTTTCCCTGAATTCCCTGTGGAAATCAAGCACAAGGACAGGGTTACTGAAGCCCTAAGATTTATAGCCAGGTACTGAAAATACAGGAGACAATCTCTTACTCAAAAAAAGTAGCCCAGGGCTGGCCAGATAGCTCAGCAGACTAAAGTTCCTGCTTAGGCAGATGCAGGGACTGGGGTTCGATTCACAGTGTGCCGTGCTGGCCCTGCCCCCAAGGCGTGCTGAGATGGTGATTGAGACTGGGCATGGTGGTGTGCACCTGTAATCCCAGTGCTTGGGAGGCTGAACACAGGAGGATCACTGCAAGTCGGAGTTGCTTAGTAAGACCTGGTAGACCCTACTAAATACATAAAGAAAAACAAAAAAAGTAGCCCAGTGGGTGGGAGTGAACCCTTCACTCCCATGGGTTAATTGAATCACAGGACGCCTGGGGAGAAACACTCACATCTGGGCACAGCAGTGTGCTTGCTATGTTGGGTGCGCAAGTAGAGAGAAATCAGAGTCATTTTTTTTTTTTTTTTTGTTAACAACCGCATTAAAGCATTCTTGATCCCCAGTGACAAAGGGTGGCTGTGTATCTGGAAACTCACAGTATAAATAATACTCTGGCACTGCAGGAGGAAGCTGGTGATTTTATCATGGAGCAGGGCAGTGTCACAGGTTTGGAATGCAATTTACAACTCCCCTCAGATGAATTATCTTCTTAGATGAGCTTTCTCATCTTCCAGCTTATTCTCCTCAGGAGTATTCATCCCTTTTATAAGGGATGCACAGCCACCTTTATGAGGTGGTTTTGAGGCGGGAGATCTGGGTGTGGCAAACCAGCTGAACAATTGGGAATGGCCTGCCGACCACAGAGATTCAGGACACATTCAAAGCCCTGGACCTGGTGCCAATCAGAAAGTGCCATTCGCAATTCTTCTGGCATGAAATCAAGCATGTTTTGGATGGTACAGTCTAGCTCTGACATCAGCCTGAGGAACAGAGGATACAAAAGACTTCCGCTATTAACCCCATGACCACTGTGAACCCTCTCAATGGCCTGCTGTCACTGCAGACTGGACTTCTAGTCTTACCTTTTTGCAGTACTGGGGATTGAACTTGGCACCTTGTGCATGCCAGTCAGGTGCTTATGCCACTGAGCTGTCTCCCCGGGCCCTCTTGTCTTATCTTTAATAGATGTTAAATCTCATTACCTCTGTTGTGTGTCTTAGGAGTCTACACAGGCCAGAACCTGGTAACTGTTTGGTAATACCAGGCTCTCGATAGTGCTAGTGTTTCTGGGCATGATGTTTCTAAGAAGTCCTGCAGACACACTCCAGTAAGGCTTGCATGTGGGAGGTCCGGCCAGTATTTCAGAGCCTGATGCTCAAACATGGCTATAGAATCTTCCCCAACCAGCATCCGATGCGTGGCACGTTGGTTCTGATAGCAGACATGTTGCCTTGTTCTATGTTGCCTTGTTTTGCTTTACTTATGGGTCACATTTGAAGAGAACCAAGTTATGAATGAGTGGGCAACAAGCAGGGACAATTCTGTTACTGTCTTACAATCAAATGCACAGCACTTCAAGTAAGGCCTTCCATTTATTTTTTCTCTTTTACAAGGATCTGAGAACTGAGACTTCATATAGTCTTGAAATGTAGGTAAGCTCTCCAGAAGGACCTGTGCTGTACATAATTAGTTATTTTTACTTGAAAATGAGATTCAGTAAAAATGTGATGTTATTATAACACTGAAATCACAAAGCAAGCAGGACCTCGGGAGTTTGGGGGGTCTGGGGCTAGTCTTGTCCTTTTTGAAATTACTTACAGTGGACAAAGTAAACCCTGCTAGGTCAATGTTCTTTTTCACATAAAGAACAAATAATTTAATTGTCAGCTAATGCTGATTTACTGCTTATAATGTGCCAACGGTGTTCCAAATACTGCATCTATATATTAATCATCAACATATACATGCAAGTCCTTAACTAATTCACAGCCACAAAGCCATATGAGGTTCCTGATGTGTAGATTTGGGGATAAGAACACTGACACTTGGGCGGGGTGTGTGACAACAGTCTCTCTACTACCACCATAAGGACATCCTAGTCACTAGATGCAATTGGCATTTGTGCACTACTCCAAAGCGGTGCTCTTTGGCTTTGAGGCAATCTTGGTTGTCGGCTAGAGACACCTAGATTAGTAGGGTACCCATCCAGTGGGTGGGCATGGGGCTGTGATTGCAGGGGTCTGGCTTCTCATTCTTTCCTCTTGAACTCTTCCCTTGCTGTCTGCTTCCTGGGTCCCACAGGCTGAGCAGCCTTCCTTCCCACGGCCCATTCACCATGATGTTCCTGCTCTTGGAGCCAGCCAGCCACAGACTGGATCTTTGAAACTGTGAGCCCTAACGAACCTCTCCTTTTAGTTGGGAGCCTCAGCATTTATCCCAGTGATGGGAGAACTTGCCCATCCACACAGTTTTTTTTTGAGGCTGAAGGCCTTTAGATGGGGCATGGGGCATGGGGCATGGAGGTCAGTCAAGTCCCAGTGCTCACTTCAATAATCCACAGGGGGGCACTTGTACCTCTCCTGCATTCTGCCCCACCATTCCATCCCTCTCCATCCTGGGGCTCCTTAGATTGATCCCTCAGGATGGCATTAAGTCATAAGACTCTTTGGTCTTTCTTCCTCTAATCTCCCCCATAGGGACTACGGGCCCACTCTGAGGAACTGTATGGCCTGGAGGTGCACATCAGCCATTGGCCTGCCCATGCTAAAACTGGGTGGGTCACTTCCAAGGAGCTGGACTACAATGAAATCTCCTGCAAAGCGAACAGGGTGTCCAGGGTTTGTTCTCCCACTACCTTAGAAGACCCCGTGGGATACTGCAATGTCTCTGGCTGGCCATAAAGCACTGGGCCAGGCCAACCTCTCTCAGCGGGCATGTGGTAGCGCACCAAACTGGGCCAGTGTGCTTCTGTCTTGATCCGACTTCCTGAACATCTCTCC